TATATATATATAATACACATACATACATATATATATAAACACATGCATACAAACATCAACTGAGAAGCCCGAAATCAAGAATCTCTTGCAAAATGCAGCAGAGTTGTACATGACAGTGCAAAAGTCCTTCTCACCAAATCAAGCTCAGTGTAATCACATGTGGACCCGCAAGTATTTCATCAAACAAGTAAACGGATAGGCACTTTCATGCGTTACAGACCGACGGTAGGCCAAAATAGATTGTGGCTGAATGAACTGTGAAAATGTAGAAAGGAACAATGTGAAAATTATGCTTTTTTTCTCAATTCGTGCCAAAAATCGGCCTGGAGAAGAAAAAAATTTCATTTTTCAACAGGGAAAATTAAGCACTTTTTAAAAACATCCAATAAAAAAGTTATCTTTAAGGGCGTTAAAAAAAACGAATATCGAAAATAAGCACCTTTACAGACCTTTTAAAAATGCTAGGCACACTGTTTCATTTTTGATTTTCTAAAAATATCAAAGATTAGAATACATCACAAATGAAGGCATCAAGAAGACTGTTAGCACTTAAAGCTATAATGGCTGAGAACACATTTAAAGTATACAATCTAAATCGACATTATCGGTGTTAATAATAGCTTATTACTTATGATTCCTTTTACAAAAAAAACTTTAAGTAAAAATAATGCTAATCAAGCTGAAAGTTAATAAAAATTAATATCACTTGAAAACTCTTTAGCCTATTTTAAAGTTTTATAGATATTTGTTAATTATAATAAATTTTACTTTTCCAAGAGAACAATTAAGAAGAATAATTTTTAAAAAAAACCTAAAAATAAAAAATTTACAATAATATCTCTTTTATTTATAGTGGAATGTTGAAATGTAAATATGATATACATATGATAATGTAATGTTGTAGTGTAATGTAAATAAGTAAAATTATATGTTGAATGTTGTAATGTAATATTAGGTGTAACCAAAAAAGTTGTAATGTAAACACATTACAACATTTTCAGTTACACCTAATTTGAAAAACAGCTTTAAGGAAAAACATAATTAAAATTTAAATAAAACATGTGATGCATCACTTTAAATAACTTCCAGTGCCATTGAAGTATAGGCAATGTATTTAAGTATCTAGGTGTAGTGAAATTTAATTAATATTATGCACTTAATTAAAATATTCAGAAGTGAAATTGCTATACCTCTATAGACTGTTGTTGCCTTCGCCACTCTTCATTGTGGCCTAAAGGAGGCTGCATTTTTATTTGGTTTTGACCTTGTTGTGCTTCCCATTCTAAGCGCCTTAGACGAGCTCTTTCTAAATCTTCCTGCATTTTTAATTTTCGTTCACGATTTTCTGCTCGATCAAGCAAGTCCTAAAATAAAATTTTAAGAAATAAGCTATAAATGAGATTACAAAATTCAACAACCATTTCTGTGGAACAATGAATTAATAAAGAAGTTACGATTCACAAAAATAAAAACATTGACATATAAACTATTTTTTTTTAAAAGATCTATTCAAATCTATTTTCATTCCTAAATTTTTTATTACTTTTTTTTATTTGATTTATTTTTAAAATTCACACCTGTTGAAAATTATTCAATTTTTTATAGCAACAATCGAACTTATTATAAAAGAAAGCAATTTTATACAATTGACATTAAAAAGTATCAGAAACGTTGATTTCTTAGCATTTTCTTACTTATAATTCAACATTACAAAGCTCTATTAAATTATAAATGAATCTTTAAATTTTATGTTTATTTTTAAAAAAATATATAATATTAACAAATAAAATGGCCATAAAATTATTAAAAAAAAAAGGAAAAAAAACATTAAAAAGAATCAATCCTACATAACAATATTTTATATAATTAACATTAAAATTATCTGAAATTTTTAATTCCTTAACATCTTCTCACTTATAATTCAACGTAACAAAGCTCGATTATATAAAATTTTCTTTAACTTTTGAGTTTGTTTTTTTCTTTCAAAAATCGTAATATTGAAAGAAATTACCATAAAATTGTTATTACCAAAAAACATGCATTAAAAAAAATAATCCATCTTCTCTTATAAACTATTTAATGCTAAACATACAGTTTAAATTTGAAGTCATTCATCAAGATTTGCTCAAGTTAAAAGTATGGGCAGCTTGAAACATGCATTTCTGAGAAATACTCTTTTGAGTTTTCTAGATACACACAGTAGAGTTTGAGGGGCTGTGTAAGTACATACAAACTTCTACTAACAAGTCTAGAATGGCTTAACGTTTTAAAGAAAATTTTAGCATAAAAATTTTTTAATAACCTTTAAACACCTTTTTTTTTTTAACAACTCCATCATTTTTATGATAGCTCTCCTTTCCAGTTTGATCAATTAGGATTTACAAAATTTTTGAAGATCAAAATTAAGAGGAAACACCAAAAGGATAATTCATTGAGCAAAATTTCAGTTTGTATCTACCTCATCTTCGTCATCATCTTCATCTCCATGTAACTCTTCAGCACGCCTTTGGAATTCTTGCTCCAGCCTCAATGCACGCAAGCGATCTTCCTGCTGGGCTGTTATGTGAGGACGACTTTCCAGCTCTCTTATCTCTTCATCACGAGCACGTCTGGCTTCTTCTTGCCTTTGCTTGTGCAACTAAACATGAAATTATGCAATGAGTATGAGATAATCAATTGAATTTTAAACAATGCACCAAAAAGAATTACAGATTTAATTTACAAAGAACAGACTTAACAAGGTGTCATAATTCAGAAAATAGACTGTTTATAGGTTATATGGAATTCCTTCAAATATTAAGTTTAACTAATAAATGAAGCGGTAAGTAGATGAATAAATGTGAAATAATTTAAAAAGAAATTTTTAGATTTAATTTAATAAAAAAAAGTGTTCATTAATATTATTTAAATATAAAAAAAATAAAAAAAAATATTGTTTTTAGGTTATATGGAACCGTTTTAAATATGTAGCTTTATTTAATAAATGAAGAGATTAAGTAGATGAACTCCCTTTTTTTCCGAATGTTATACTCCACACTCTCTACCTTTCAGCTGTATAGGATAAAATTTGTTATTAGAACTAAAAAATGAAATATAACTTCATCCGATGTATGAAAAAAAGCGACTTAATTATTTTATCCGTACTAAATGCTCTGCCTAGTCTAGATTATAACTCAAAGAGGTATTTTTTTGAACTGAACAGATATGAAACAAATAAAGATTTTTTACCTTCACGAAATGGAATAAATTAATGTTAAAACTCTAAAAATTGAATGTTTATTATACTCTGCTTTTTAATAAAATTTTTTTAGAAGTTTAGTGAGAATTTTTCTTCCTTTATCATATCAATAAGGTTCCAGTCTCGCATTAGAAACAGGAGTAAAGAACTAAAATAAATACCAATTAAAAGCTTGTAAAACTTAGTTTGAAATTTGTTTCAAAAATGAAAAGAATATTTTCCGATAGACAACTGTTATTACAGTAGGGAGGGAACCGATTATCCGGAACGACCGGGACCATCTCTATTCCGGATAACTGATTTTTTCGGTTTTCCGAATCGCTACAAAAAGCCGNGTATTGTAATAAATTGAAATTTATTATAAGTTTTTTTTTTGTAATACTTTTAAAGATAGATTATTTGTCTGTAGATGGCACCACTACGGTAAAGTTTAAATTCAATCATAATGATATTTTCTTTAGAAATTTTGAATTAGTCTTTTAAAAAGGGATTTTTTTGGGTAAAATCTATGTAACTAAATTTATTAATATTTATTGAAGATGGTATTATAACTTGTATAGGGTATTAGTGGATTCATGACGGTTTTTCTCAGGGATCTTTTTTTTTGGTTCTGACGTCCGCCGGATGCGGGATGACTCTGGACGTGGTAAACAGGTCAGTCTAGATTCTTTCGCCTTGTTGAAGGGAGGATAAAAGAGAAGCGATGAATGTGGCTAAGAGCAGTAGTAGTAATCAGCAGTAAGCAGTTAACCAGAGCAGTATCCTGGGGATACGGAGTTTGTACCTCGGAGATGGTGGATCGTAACCTTAGGGAAAGCTAAACTGAAGTCTCTAGCCCGAAGGACTACCGAGATTAGCCGAAAGCCGATATCCTCGAGACGATGGGCCCAGTCCGAAGGAATCTATGCTGGACGTCCGGTGTTCCCCTTCTACATGCCTAAGACTATTGAAGTTAGAATAGCTGGAGAAATTTCGAGATCCTAGACGAGGAGTTTGTCCATGAGTTCATCTACCATTCCGGTGGGCGGTTCCAGAGAGCAATCAGTAAATTCTTTTGGGTACTTATAAAACTTTAAATTTTATTTCGCTAACATTTTAGAGGAATCATTTACCGTAAATTCTGAACTGTTATGTTGTGTTTTTTTTTGTGTAGGAGAACAATCAGTATTTAAGTGTGATTTATAGATATCATAAACCAAGTCTGTGTTTTTAGTAATGTTAAATGCAGTTTTTATTTTATAAATGTCCTTTTTGAACTGTAGTAATTGAAGGTTATGCTTGAGTGTTATAAGGTTGCATTTTTGTTTTAATTAATGTATAAATATTTATTCCCATGTTAGCATTTGGAAATGTGTGAAATTATGTTTTTTGAAGATTTAGAGGTGCAATAAAAATGAGTTTTAAATGTTAATTCATTAGATATTTGTCTACTAAATAACCTGGGTAACCGTTACTAAATTTAAATTTTGAGATCATAGCCAAAGGGGTAACGGTACCCTACCTTTCAGCTGTATAGGATAAAATTTGTTATAAGAACTAAAAAATTAAATATAACTTCATCCAATGTATGAAAGAAAGCGACTTAATTATTTTATGCATACTAAATGCTCTTCCTAGTCTAGATTATAACTCAAAGAGGTATTTTTTGAACTGAACAGATATGAAACAAATGAAGATTTTTTTCCCTCACGAAATGGAATAAATGAATGTTAAAACTCTAAAAATTGAATGCTTTTTATATACTCTGCTTTTTAATAAAAATTTTAAGAAGTTTAGTGAGAATTTTTCTTCCTTTATCATATCAATAAGTTTCCAGTCTCGCCTTAGAAACAGGAGTAAAAACTTTTTTTTTTTTTTTTTTTTTTTTTTTTTTGAGACTGNGCACTTGAACTCTCGTTCTTCACCTCGGAAGATGCCGGAAGTGTTGCTCATTTAGCGTTACCCAGTGGGCACCTGTGAACCTAAGTCACGGAGGCGAGCAACATTACCCACGCCGCACTGCCACAAACCCGTTCATAGGGCGGGCCACATTCACACATCACACACAACAGAGGACAACACAGAGAGAAACATCCATGCCCAGAGCGGGATTCGAACCCGCAGCCATTGGCTTCGCAGTCAGGCACGCTAACCGCTCGGCCACCTGGCCGGCAGGAGTAAAAACTAAAATAAATACCAATTAAAAGCTTATAAAACTTAGTTTGAAATTTATTTCAAAAATGAAAGGTATATTTTCCGATAGACAACTATGTTACTAATATAATAAAAAAATAATCATATACAGATTAAAGAAAATTTAAGGGCATCTACAAGTTGTAAAATGTAATGTGAATATCAAAAACAGTAGTAAATGCAGAAAACACACAAAACGAAGAAAATAACAAACAAAAAAATATTCTTTAAGTTCAAGTGACTTATTTCCACAGTGAAAAATAAATAAAGAAACAAAACACAAACACAGATTCGTATTTTATCATCATAGTCACTGTTAAAATTTATTACACATAGATATCAACTTTAAAATAGTCACATGCCATTAATGACAAACACTAACATACAATGTTACAAGATATTGTAGGATACAAGCACTAAATTCTCTTACGATTAAAAAAAATTTCTTGATCATTATTATTACATTAGCAGCCACAAAGGGATCAAGGAACAAACATGAACAAAACAAGGATAAACTTAACTCGGAGCCAAAAGAGTCGCAACTCAAAACAATCTTAACCCATTAAATGTCTATGCCAAACTCCTATTCCTTTATCCACACAACAATTATTTTTTTCTTTCAGAGAAATATTGCTCTGCAGGAAAATTGTTTTTCGAACTTTGCACAAGCAGATAGACACATAAAGGGTAAAAAGAGACATCAAACAAGCAAAACCTAATTCAAACACAATTAAGGTTCCACAAAGACAGAACAGAAAGCCAAATCACCATTTATGAAAAAATGAGTGCATACTCACAATATGAGTAGCAATATTAAAGGTACCAAATTTGCTGGAAATCTAAGGGTAGAAAAATGTGTTAGTATATTGAATATTAGTTTAAAGCAGCCATGCAATTAAGATAATAAATTGTTAGTGAACTAGCAACAGTAAAAAATTTTGAAACATCACTTACCTTTTCTTTTTCCTCTCGTTCCCAAGGGGAAGGACTTAAAAGATTTGACGCTTCTTTTTTATCATGCCCACTTACTGCTTGAGAAGCTTCGTAAGCAATCCTGGAATTTTGGCTACATAACAATTTTGAAAATTAGTAATCTGTTGCTGAAGTTAAGAGTTAAAAATTATTCATGATTCAAAGAATAGCAAGTAAAAAAAAAAATTTCAAATATGAAATGAATTGTAAATTATCCAAATAGAAAATTTTTAATGTACATATTCTAAGGTACCTCAATGTCTTCCTTCAAAAAGAATATTTTGAAGGAACAAAATTTTTGGTATAAAAAGTAAAAATTTTAAGTTTCTGTAAATGGAATTTTATAAATATCTAATATCTATTATAACTCAGCGGAAGAACATAATAAATGAGATTTTAACATATTTGAGAAAACCAGCTTTAGAATATTTAGAAACATTAACAGTAAATTTCACAAATAGTAATGTTCAATATTCTTTTTTTCAAAAACTAGGTATAATTCACCTTGCAGTTAGTCAGCCGATTCTGCACAAATTGCTCATATATATTTTATTTTTAATTTCTTAATATGCATTTCACACATTTCTCTATCTATCTCATATATATATATATATATATATATTTTCACAGCAATTAATCATTTATTTACTAAGCCCTTTGTTTAACACTAAAGTGATTGAACTTTTCAACTCTTTATGTACAGCAGGGATTTTAACAATTTGGCACATGCTGTGCTGCCTTTTCGCTTATTTATACATAAGTTTACCGAGAACACCTAAAACAAACCAACAAAGAAAGACAAAATATCAACAAAATTTATAAATGTAGAAAATAAAATCTACCTCATGTTTGGTGATGGTTTATGGGGAGACGATAGCCGTGGATCAGGTTGCGGTTGACGACTAGGTTTAGGTCCCATGCCATCTTCTGCTCTGGGAGGATATCCTGATGGACCATAGCGATAGCTGACAACAGGTGGTGGTTGATTTTGATGCAATGGTGCCCTTGGACCGTTCTGTGGCACCAGATGGTGAGCCGACGTATCATATACAGATGGGTTATCTGAAGGTGGCAAATACCCAGTGGGAGGTCTTTGAAACCTTTCAGGTTGGTTATTATAGAATTGGGGACGCGGTTTTGGAGCCGGAGCTGGTGGTCCAGATGGATACTGATTATGCATATGACCACCAACTGGAGGACCTGGGTGATAATTTGGTGGAGGTCTGTTCATAACATTCATTCCTCGAGGTGGTGGGAAGTTAACACCTCGCCCCATTTGAGGTGGTTGTTGCTGAATCATTTGCCTTTCTCTGTCTTCACGGCGACGAATTTCTTCTCGCATCTCTTCCATTTTTGCTTCTTGTCGTAACAAATCTCTTTGCCTGGGGTCCATATGCATCATGTTGTAATCCTGAGGATGCATTGGATGTGATCTGTTATGCATATCAGGATGAGAAACATTTTCAGGGAAGGATCTTGGATCATGGTCATGTGGTCGCATCATTTCAGGGTTACGCAGTTCCCTAATAAATAAATGCAAACAAAGATAACTAACATGAACATAAATAATTGAAGGTTATTGAATTTAAGTATAAATTGAACACCAAGCTTCATTAATCACTTATGAAAGCAATGTTCTGTTTAGTTAACTTTTCTATAAAGGCATGCTTGCCTCAGCATTTAAATCAGATATACTAATTTTCCAAATAGGATTTAAAACAACAATTATGGAAATTAATCTTCTTTAAAAAAGTGAATTGGCTACTTATTACTCTTAGAGTAAAAATCTGCAATGAAAAAAGCGACAAAACAATGTGCAGTTTCAGATTAATCTTTTAAAATTTTATACAGATATAAATTATATTTAATTACTATAGATTAATTTTAAATAATACCTAGAAAATAAAAATATATTTTTCAAATATTGCATGACATACTAACTTACCGTAGAATATATATATATATATATCCTGCACTAGGGTTTTAATATGTTTTATCCAACAGAAAATTTTGAAATTAAATGTTTAAAAACATAGTTTTTTAAAAATTTTCAAGATATAGTGTTATTTTACTATCCCTAACTTTAAATTATCTTTTCATTACAAAAATCAAATTAAAGCACTTCTTGGGTTTTAAACTATTTTACAATTAAAGATATGATATATATAATTTGAAAACTAATTTTAACATATTTCTATTAGAAATATCAAGGTCAAGGTAGTTTTTCTAATGCTTCCACACATGAATAACAAAACAAAGCACTATTTTAGTTTAACCTTTGAAAATTTCATTTTCTATGCATAAGAAAGTCCTAATATTGATAAAAATTAGAATGTTGGGTTCTCCGAACTTTCACAAAGAATGAGAGAAACTTTTACAAAATTTTTTAGTGATTTCAATCATAAGTATCAATGATTTGAACTAACATAAGAGTTATGCTAGTATAGTGAAGAATACAAATTAAAATATTAAATATTTAAAATAAAAAATAAAAACAACACATACCGTTGATCATGAACTGGTCTAGGAGGAATGTATCCTTGTTGACCATAATGAGGATCCATGGAATTGTGGGGAGCAGCTCTAGGTGATTTAGGTGGTCCCGAATTAGGATGAGGATAACCCATTGAATTTGCATATTGCTCTTGCTCCCTAGTAGAAACTAATGTAGAAAGTGGTCTTGAACGATCCATTGATGATTGCAAACCTTGTTGATCAGGTCTATTTAGAGAAGATTGTGAACCATGTAGAGACCTTGGTGGCTGCTGAGGATGTGCTTGAGAGGATGGCCTATTTAAGTGAAACATGAATATCAAAAAAATGTAAAGCTATTTTAAGACATTCAATTTTTAATCGCTTATGCATAGTCTTAAATATATCTTAAACCTTAAAAAGTTTTTTAACATTAAAGGATGTAAAGGAAGATGTTAAACAACATTTTGACTACAAGTTTCTGGTTTTTTCATGGAAAAAAAAAATATATATGCTATGTTCAGCTATAAAAATAAAACCTAAATTATATTCCGCAAGTTTTCAACTAAAACGGATTTTGTTTCATTAACTGCATCCTGGTGTTTCCATACATATAGAAGAATTTCTTAAATGCATTTATATATCACTTAACCTTATCTTCCACAAAACTTTTAAGTGATGATAGCACTTGGAGTAATTATACACATAAAAATATGACAATGAAGCAAATAAAATTAATTAAAGAATTTATATTGAAGTGTGTCCTAATTGAATTCTAAGCTTCCCACATTAATATGCTTATACATTTAAGATGCTACTATTAGTATTACGGATAAAAATAATAATTATCAAACTGGAACATTCAAAGATATATTCATAGTTATGTATAAAAAGGAAAAATTTATTAAATTCATTTTTCTTTTAAAAGCAAGTTTATAACTTTGCATGAACGGTCGTGAGATTACGAGCTTGGCTACCAAGCTATATCCTCCCCATCTGTAATCAACCTCCATCATAGCAGCATACTCTGCAGATCATTTTTAATTAATAGTTTTATAATTTTTATTTCATTTTTAAAAAGCAAACAAATTAAGAAGAATTGCTTAGACTCTTTTTTTAAAACACATCTAAACTTGTTTTTTTAATAAAAATTACAAAGCTAAGTTGAGAAAACACCACAAAAAACAAAAAGTACAGAATATTTTTTCTTTCTTTTACTGATTACAGACTTAACTTACTGCATTTTTATTTTTTAGCATCATTGTATAAAAATCAATTTAAATTTAAAAATCATTAAGTTTTTATGCATTAATTTAAAAAAAATTATGATTGTAACATCTTGCTATGTGTATGTTAAGCTGAATTTAACAATTATCTCTGTCTGACTGCATTGAGGCTGCTGAAAGATTTGGACTAATAAAAATAGTGCTGCAGGTTCACTCCACTAATTCTGCTACTGGGAATTCTGGGTGATCTAAGACAATTTAAATTACAGATAATTATTGAACTTTCCACAAACTCTCTCTCTTTTGCAGCAATAATTAACACATTTTCAATAAGCACTTTTATTATAAAGAGAAAATTTATAAATCAAAAAGTTAACTATTAACTAAAGGTTAACTTTAATCAAAAAGGTTATTATTTTAAAAAACTATTTAATCAAAAATTTTACTTTTTTAAAAAGAGAAGTATTGAATCAAAATGTTTAACTAAGCTAACTTTTAAAGTTTTAAAAAGGATAAAATAAATATGGTTTACAAAGTATTACAAACCAGTTTATCTTAAGTCTTAAACATTAAGAAAAATAGCCTTACCTCATGTGTATATTATGAGGATTTGGTGAATGATTCATCTGTGGTTGTGGTGGTTGCTGGTATAGGCTAATATTTTGATAATGTCTTTCTTCTTGGATTGCAGGTGGCGGTAACGATGACACTTGAGGGGGTGCATGCATTGGAGCTTGCGACTGTTGGATATTTGGGTGGGAAACAGCACGATTATTCGGACCACCAGGAAGTCCGGGATACGGAGGTGGGTTTTGATCATCTTGAGGATAATGCAGCCTTGGATCATTAGGCATGTCATGTCGCAAGTTATTTGCAGATTTTGAACGAGAGTGGTGGTCTGGGAATTCATTCACTTTTGGTATTGAAGCAGTTGAGGACGTTCGGCTGTATGCAGGATTGTAAACCTCCTGTGATCGGATGCTTCCATTCTGTTGAATACCTGGGGGGTCTGGTTCATGGTTGCCTAGGAGAAAAAAAATTGTGGTTTTAAAATTTTTGCTTCAGAGCACGTATTTAAAAAAATCAATAACTATTTTACATATTTTTTTTCTAATTAATATTTTTTAATCTGCTAACAATTTTAAATTTAATTTTTAGATTTTATGCTGAGAAACCAGCATACCCCCACTAAACTTTATTCTGAACTAGACTGAAAAATTTGCAATCAAATGAACTTTTCGCTTTTAAAAATGGTACATTGCAGCTGCTTGGAATAAGATCCAAATTATTCGTTCTCTTTATTTAGTTTCGTTCTCTTTCTCCTATTCCTCTCTCTTTATTTATTTCTTTATTTAGGTGGAATTCTTCTAGGTTCTTTGATAGTTGATGAATCTATGTTATGAATATATGAACTGAAATTTGATACTCTACTTCAGATTAATGAGAGAGAAAAAAAATAAAGCGCACTTTTCACTAATATTCATGTAATACTTCACACAGGGTGCATAGCCAGATTTTTCAATAAAAAATAAGTATCTTTTAAGTATTTTTTAAGCACTTTCCAAAAAAAAAATTTTATAATTAGGATCTGTGCAGTAATAAAAATTATTTTTTTCTATCGTTTGAAGTTCTTAATTTATGAACATAGAATGAATAAAATTCAAAAACATTTTCACAAACTTCACATAATCATGATAAAAGAACTAGTTTCTAATAAATATTGCAGAGATAAATATTGCAAAAACCCTGCATTTCTGTTATTTAGAATAACAATCAACATGGTAAAGAAAAAATCTCTTTTTAAAAGATAGAAAATTAAGCACTTTTTACAAACCCACAATAAAAAAAAGCACCTTTAAGGGCTTTTAAAAAAGTTAAATCAAATTTAAGCACATTTTAAAAATGCGACACATCCTGCTTACATACTAAAAAATAACATCAGAAAAAGTGAAGGTGTTTAGAATTTTGTTTTAAATTTAAAACCAGAAAAATACTCAGTATCTTGACAAATGGTATGAGTTTTCATTATCAAATGTCTACACAATAATTATAGAAATAATCATTATCTTCTAAGATCTTAATATTTTTTTTTTAAGAAATTGGCACTTTAATCCATTCCCACAATTAAATAATAAAATTATACTTTAATGCTAAGTAATATTCATTAACAGGGATTACATTGATAATGAAGTGACAGAATCCTTACTATTTAAAGAAGGAACACTTTTACTGCTCTGCATTCGAGGAGGTAACAGGTGGTTAGATCCTGGAGGTATTCTCCCATCATGACCATTTTCATTCATAACCCTCGATGGAATATCCCGCTCACTCATTCTGCGAGGTCCTGAAAGCAAGTAAATTTCATATTAACCATAACAAAGTAAATTTAATTCAACCGCTATTCAAACTAACTTTCAAAAAAGTTTCAAATATAAGTTTAAACTCCCATTATCTTTGATTCTTTCTTAACTTTTTAATATTACAGTGATTGTATATAAAAATTAGCAGATTTTAACATTGAAATTATATTTAAAAATTATATTTAATTTAATTATATATCTATATTTAAAAAAAATCCACAACACAACCAATAACCGAGAGAGTTTTATAAAAAGTTTTCATGCAAAAGAACAGATTCATAATCCTCTATTAGGACACAATTCTTTTTTTAAAATTTTTTTTAAAAAGTGAATTAATTCTAAGTTTAATTTTTTTGAACGAGATAAAAATTAATGGGTCAATTCATTTAATAGAATTCACCTTGTTATGCTAAAAAAATAATATTTTATAAGCATTCATTAAGATCTAAATTTAGATACCAATTTTTTTTATTATTTATCTAAATTCAAACTGATCATGTAACTGAATGGTTACTCTTCAAATTAGCCCCAATCCCACATTTACGGTAGCACAAATTATACAAATTTATTATTAAGAACATTTTAAAAACACCAATTACGTTTTAACGGATTTAAAACTTTAAAAATATGAAAACATGTGTCAAAAGAATATAAAAAATTCACAGCAAGGCTAAAATGTTTAAATTTTAACCAAAACTGTAGGTGGATAAAAATAATATGAAACAAACAATTGGGAAATGATAAAAATGAAAACTCACAAATATCATGCATAATATGCTAAAAAGGCAAACTAGATTAAAGTTGAACACAATACATTCTGGAAGGACATAAAACAATTGATAGAGAGACTAAAACATTGCTTACTACCAAAATCAAAGAGGATAAAATGAAATGCAACTAATAGTTGTGAATTGATAAAAATGAAACTTGACAAAGTCATGCAAAATGAGTTTAGAACACAAACTAAATAAAAATACATTTCAGAAAGGAAACAAATGAAAACTGAAAAAAATAAAACCAATAAAAACAAACCATAAGGACAAAAAAACATCATCAAAGGACTAAAAAGAGAAGAAAATTTTACATAACTGTACATACTATGACAAGTTTGAGGGCATGGTTCAAGACAATTTCCAAAGCTGTACAGAGTCTCAGTACTACTGCATTTAGATGAACGATGATATGGCAACAATGAAAAAATCTCTTTAGCCACCTTTTTATTAATATGTTTAAAATCTTCATGACTGTTACAAACATACATGTTTTTCGAATGATTGGTAAAACTATCATATGTGTAATTGCCATTCTTATCAATGTCTTTGTGGCAAAACTGTTGTGATGATAGATTTTCTAAAGACAGACAATTGGAAGTTGCTTTTGATTTGCATACAATACAAAAATAGTTAAGAGTTACATTTTCTTTAGGCATATGCTGTTGCCTTTTAAATATACATATAGGACAATCAGTTTCATAATCCTCAATTTGATATAATATGCTTCTAGACATTTTTGAAGGCACGTGTTCTCGATCCAAGTGAGATTGGCAATATGGACATGGACAATTATGGCAGAAATTGAGTAGAGAATCTTCACTTTTAGGTTTAAACAAAGATCGTTTATAAGGCCACACTGAAAATTTGGACGGTAAGCCTGGACGAAGCCTTGCATTCTTGAATGGATATTCTTTTAAGACTTGATTTCTTCGTTCTAAGGTGGGTAATAGTTCATTGTTTGTGGTAGATGTGTTTTTATTATAGTCAAAATAACAACTTCGTGTTATTTTAGGAGGAACAAGAAAGGTATTTAAATTTCCAGAGTTTTGGTTCTCACATCCACTTGGAGGGGCTCCGAATGCTCGTTCTCGTTGCATATGAGTGATGTCTAGCAATGAAAGGTTAGAAACATGACAGCAGATGATTAGGTTCAAAAAAGAGAAGTTACAGCATAAAATAACCAAATTTTGGTCAGGAATAAGAAAGTTAAAAATTTTTTTAAGGATTTTTCAATGTTTTTTTTTTTTTTAATTTCTGCAAAACTTTAGAAAATTGAAGAACAGAAGATACAGAAAATGATTAAAAAATTTAATATTTTTGCGAATAAAATAAAAAAGTTTTTGGAACTATGAAATACTTTTCTTTTTGAGAGTTTTGAAAAAAGAAAATGAAAATAAAACATCAAATGACAAAAAAGTAGAATAGAGAGTTTGGTAAATTTTAACATATTAGTGAAGTCGCCAGAATTCATGGTTAAAAGTGAAACACTTTTTTAAAAAAATTTAGAAACAAATATGAGTTTGCATACATAAATATACAAGTTGATCAAAATGATATCTCTTATTGGACATAATTATTTTTATTAAAAAAGTTAACATTTTGTAAGATGTGATGTTACTCATGAAATGTGAGTGCAATAAAAAATTTGAAACCTGATAGTAGAAAGTTAAATTTTTAAAACAAAAAAAAAAATAATGAAAAATTGCTGAGTCACAATTGTTTCAATTTGCTCAGAGTGTTTATTCTAACCACTTTTTTATAGCATTTATTTCAGTTAAATTAATTTTAATAAAATTTCTTAAAAAAGCATAGGAAAATGAGATTTTTTGTTTTATAAAGGAATTATTTATTAGCAGAATGTAAGAAATGCATAAAAATGCTAAATCAAAGTATTTAAATAAATTGTGAACTAAGGTCATCAAAACAATTTTGTGTTAATTTATAAATAAAAATATTATTTCAATGGAAACATTTCAAAATAATATTTTTTTATTAATTAAATTACATGATTTGTTATCGTTTGTATCAGCAATCTCAAGCCTTACATGCTTTCCAATTTATTTACTAGACATTAATGTTGTGCAATTGATTAAGAGCAATGAATAAATTGAAATTGAATCCAAAATTATTCAATCTGAACAACTAATACAAAACCAAAATGTTTTCTCTTCATCAAGAGCAGTAAAAAAATGGGTTTAAAACAGAACAAAGAATCTAACAATCAAAGTTTTGTTCAAGAAACTAGAAATATCCGCATCAAACTGGATATATGATGAGAAATTTTTACAATATAAATACCTCTTTGAATTGTAGGTGAAGGTTTAGTTAGCAAATCAGTCAGACCATTAAAAACTGCACCTTGTTTAGCAACTTCTAAGGTAACAACAGGACCAGTTCGTGTCATTAATTCAGCAGCCCTAAAACAGGACAAATAATGAGATATTTTTTTAAATAACAATTAAGGAAGGAATGGTTACAGGAAAATAAAACTAATTAAGTTTAATTTACTTTTCTTGGTTAACTCCCACCAAAGAATGCCCATCTACTTTCAATAATTGATCACCAGCTTGCAATCTGCCATCCTAAAATATAAAAACAAATTTGAGCTTTCTTTATAATTCAGATGCAATTTATTTAATTATCAGAATAAAAAAAGAAGATAATAATGTGGGGCTTGATACAGAGGACCATTGGTTTAAAACCAGTAAAATTTGACCTGGACCAACCAAAATGAGATTATTATCAGTTGTAGCCTTGACCAGCATTTAATGTAAAGGGATAGTATGCTGTTTTGGTTTCATGTTTTGGACTGTGTTTTTATCCCAAAATAGCAGATTTCTTCACAATTGTGACATTACAAATTCTCAGTATTGTAATATTAAGTTCACTCTATTGACTTTTTCAAAATAAATCTTACATAAATGTATAGGCAGACTAGTGAAAATGTGTATGGCATTAGTGTATCTTTCAGTTACTAGTTCTTTAGGCCAATGTCGAAAGTTTCTTAATTTCTTCTCCTGAAATACATATGAAAGTTCCTGATGATAAAAAATAAACTAAATCCGCGTGTTTTGAGAGGGCTAAAGAAAAAAGAAAAAATCAATACAAAATTTTTCAATATCAGAACATTTTTTGGAGCAGGAGGCACATACGAGACTACTTTAAAAAAGAAAGCATATTCTGCTTAAGTTAGGTTTAATAAGAGCAAATTTTATACTAAAAAAATAATAATAAAAACAATTTTGAATTTCAGAATAACTTTGTTTAGAACAAAAAATTTTATATTTTCCAGTACAATTTTATTAGAGGATCACTAAACAAAATTTAGTTTAAGATAAATAAAAAATTTATTATAGCATTGTTGAATTAAAAAAGTGGTTATGAAAGAGAAGGTAAAATGAATTAATATAGACATGGCCACCCCTGCGCATATTCTGATTTGTTTCGGGTTCTTAAAGATGAGGTCCTGCGAGACTCAAGTCTTTTTATGGACTTTTTGGAAGTGTTCGGATTCATGGGAGTCGTTTAGCGCTGCTAGACGATTCCGAGATTAACAACAACATTCCCCCTTTTCAAAATTTGTAATAGAGTTTAAGATTTCACAAATCAAATTATTTTAAAGTAGTGTGTTAATAGCCTCAAAATGAAAACACAGTAAATATGCAATTTTATCACTTGTAAAAATGTAATTTAGTAACACGATTACTGAATTGTCAATTGGAATCTGATTTTTAAAATCAGATGAAGCAATAATTATGAAAACACAAAATTCCACGATGGAAGTCTGCATTTGCAGAAAATAATAATTATGCATATCACCCCTGAATTCACAACTATAAAATTTGATTTTGTAAAATAGTAAAGTTTCCTTTCACATAAAATGACCGAATTCTAAAAAAATTTCAAACAATGAATCTTGGGAGGAAGGTAGTTTATCTAAATCATGCTAATAATTAGTAGACAGTCGCCAAGTCTGAGCTATCAAATTTTGTGATCTTTACCAGCATTATCAATCAAGATAAAAAATTTTGAATCAAAAAACCAAATCTTTCGATTCTTAAAATAAATTTTAATATACGCATTTGTACTCATAGAATGGTATATTCTACCAATACAAAAAAATCAGGAATAACAAAATCTTAAAATCAGGAGAAATAAAGAAAAAATACTTTTCATCAGGAAAATGATGAATCCTGATTTATATCTTTAATACAAATATATCTTTAATTTATATCTTTAATAATATGCTTTTAAATTTAAAATTACTTACTATACATGCCTAAGAAACAAATTTTTCTATATCAAAAAATATACAAAGATCAGGATTTAAGTAAGGAGAGGAGAGGTTTAAGTCATCATTTAGAATTCAATTATTTCTAAGCCATTCTTAGTTTCAGCACAATTATTTCAATTATAGCCACTTACTAGGTCAGCAGCACCGCCTTTTACAACAGACTTTATGTAGATTCCGAGCTTGTCAGCATCAGAGGGAGCCTATAAGAATAAATACCATTTATCATTTCTTAGTATGTGTAAGTTTCAACTTATGTAAATTTTAAAAATATATAAATCTAACAAGGCTAGAATACTGTAGACATTTATATTTCTTGCTATTTAATTTTAATTTTCATGGCATATATTAAAGCAATAATGCTTCGGATACAATGTTGATTAGAGAAAACATTTTAATCAATGCTAAAATTTTAATTATATTTTAATATCACCAACAAATATTTAAAAATATATTTACAGGATACATTTTAATCAACTTTTTAAGCTTTTAAAAAATAAAATTTCAAAAATATTTATAAATAATTAAAACTAAAATGTTACAAAAGTTGTAAATTCTAAGAGAATAATAAGAAGTGCTTGATGCTTAAAACAGCAATGTATGTGGAAGTCCCTACAGAACAATTAATGTATGGAGAAGAACTGTTTCTAACCACTCAGAATAAACAACTCTAAAAGTGAAGAAAATTTTATATGCTGTCAAGTTTTGTTCTGTTACGCAAACAATTATATATAATTTAGTATTTCTAATTAAGGCTTCTTTATCTTACAAATTTAGTTTGAAAAACAATATTATTTGTCACTAAAAAATAGTAATAATTTTATTAGTGTGATTCTCAAGTCTTGACATAAAATGTTCAACATAATTCTGCTCCTAGGAAAAATGTTAGGAATACTTTAAAAACTACTATATTATTAAGACTAAAATTGAAAATTTAGATTTTAGTTGAAAATAATATTTTTAATATAAATTTTAAGAATGCAAAAGATATTTCATAATTACAAGTTGTTGTTTTTTTGTATTTTGCAATTAAACAGCTCATTTTTTTCAACAAGGAAAGAAATAAAAAATTTTTTACCCCAGCAGCAATAATGCTCAGACCGATGCCATTATTACTTTTCTGCAAACGGATTGTAACTACTTCTGCTTCTTGGTTTTTCCAGCTGCTGCTATCATCAACATGACTGTGTAAACTCGGACTACGTGCCTAGAAATTAAGTTACAATTTAATTCTAACGTTTCTTAACTACTTGTTATTTCATATTTTAAAAACAAAGCCATTACCTTTTAAAAGTCACACACTTTCTAAAAAATACTTTAAAAAGATTCAGAAAATATTCAAAAAATAAATAAGAATAATAAATAAATTAAGACAGTAAAGAAAATGTCCATTAAAACACAACAGAACAAATACAGAGACGTTTTCACACATGACCATATGAATCAATAATTGGGGATGATCTAGAAAAAATTAGGTCCATTTAAGGACCATTTTATTATAGAACCTTTCACAAAAATAACAATACTGAAAAAAAAGAAGACTTTTCAAAAAATTTAATTTTTCATCAAACTTATTTTTTAATAACATGAGCATTTTTACATTGATAATTGGGAAATAAAATTAAAATCGTCCAGGAAAACTTTCAAATAAGTTGGTGATGCAATTTTTCTAACAACCAAATAGTGGACAAATTAGTTTTTATTTCTTAGTATTTAAATGCTCTCTTGAGATTACAATCTTATAATAATAAATTATATTAGGTAGACTGGAAAATTCTGTCGGCAAAAGAACACATCTCATTAAACAAAGATGCAAACTGTGCCTTAAAAAAATGGTAGGGCATTTATAATGAAATGTATACAGTAGGTTTACCACTTAGTTCTGCTGGATACTTTCGATACAAGTTTGAATATGTATACACGTCTTTTTTTTGCCATATAACTGTGTCTCTGTAAGCTAGAACATAACAACTGAGTTATAGGACAAATACCCTACCACTTTCTTTCATAAAAGAACCTTAACATTAAACTAAAATAAGGTATGCACTTTTTTGCCACATACGTTTGTCACTGCAAGCTAGAACATAACAACTGAGTTATAGAACAAATACCCTACCACTTTCTTTAATAAAAGAACCATAACATTAAAGTAAAATAAGGCATGCACTTTCGTGGACTAAACTTTCCGTTCAACCTAACAGAAAGTAACTCAAAATCTTCCAGTAACTAGCTCTTAGTTTAGTATTTATTGTAAAAAACTCTTTTTCAAATCTATGTGAACTTTTTTTAATCCTGGCAGAAGAATTAACATACTATTTTGAAACATAAGTGACAAAATTATTGATATACATCTCTCACGGCAAGCAAATTTAGTGTTATATGTCCTTAAATATCAATGGAAATTTCATCAAGTAATTATTATTTTAGCTTATAGAATATCAATTTAAAGAGTTCAAAAAATAAATTTTAATGAAAACATTGATTGCACTTAAAATATTAAAAACATAGTGAAGCGAGAATTTTTTTTACAAATGTTAATAGTTTATCAAAATAAAACAGTTATTTCTTTTTCAGTATTTTAAGGCTAGACTTTAAGTATAAAACTCATGTATTTTAACTCAGTAGTATATTTATGAGCGACATAATAAATATATAAAAAGCCTCACACACATTTACTTAAAGTGTTTAATACATAGATTAATTTTCAAGCAATTTCTCAGAACAATTGAAAGAAACAATATCAAAATAAAATTAACTATTTGAATGTAATACATAAATTTTAATTACCCCAGAAGGCAACCTGCCAATATCTTGATCAGACATGTAAATAGTCCAATACCCAGAAGATGTAGGCTGAATTGTAAGACGACACAGACCTTTAACAAAATATTTAACATGTCATATACAACACTCCTGGTAATATATTTATGTAAAATAAGTTATTAATAATAAAAGCTACTACATTAATGAATTCAAAAATACTTTAATTCTAATCATATATTTTAAAAAATCAGAATAGACAAATTTCATCTTTTACGGATAACTTTAAAGGGAGAGAAGGATGTGGCTCTAATAATTATAATAAAAAAACAAGATAAAAAAATGTTGGTTACATTTTTTAAAAGTTGTTAAAAGTGAAACCCATTTCCAATTAACTGAATTCTATTTTTTACTTAACAATCATATATATCAAAGTAAACTGAGTAGGCAATGTTTAACTGAGGATTTAAAAATATGAAATATTAGTAGTTGTGTTTTTAGGTAAATGAGGACTTCTAAAGAATTCTAATTGAGAGAACACTTTCAATGACAGCAATTTATTTAAGGTAAAAATCATTAGTTTTGATTTATAATTTATAATTATTCAAAACTGTTGAGGATTTCTACCAAAATGTGATCTTAAAAATTTTATTCAAACTGATCCTAACAGAAAGTTGTGTGAAAAAGGTAATAAAACATTAAAATCTATGCTTAATTCTGACTTATTATTGAATTTTAATAGTTCTCAATTTTATCACATTAATATTTTCTGTCCAGTCTGTGTAGGGGGCAGGGAACTGTCCTTGCATCAGAAAGGTTCTGGGTTCGAATCCCGGGCAAGGCATGGATGTTTCTTTCCCTCTATCTGTGTTCTATGTCCTTTCTCCTTTGTGTGTGAATGTGACCCGCCCTATAAACGGGTTGTGGTAGTGTGACGTGGGCGACGCTGTTCCACCGCCGTGGCTTCACCACAGGTGCCCACTGGGTAACGAAAAGAGAATTAGCAGTTCTGGCACTTTCTGTGGCCAATGGACAATAGCTCCAAGTGCCCGCCATTAAAAATAAAAAAAAATAATAATAATTATTTTTTCTTTTTTTTAAATTTACTTACACCCATAATATTCTTTATATTGATACAAAAAAACAAAAAAATGGAGGTTGAATTAGTTGCATAAGTCATTATTTTCAACTATTAAACCATAACTTTTAAAATCAATTTAAAAGCGAAAAAGATTTTGTAGACAAATTGAAAGATCTTTTAATTTTTTTTCAATTTTATTTAAAAATTGGAAACTCATTTCCCAAGGAAATATTATAGTTATAAATAATGATTTTAATTACGTTATTGAAAATTTAGTTTTAAGTCACAAAAAGAAAATAGTTTTCATTTCAATATTTAAATTTTATTTTCACCATTCAATTGTATAGCATTTTTAAATAAATATAAAATAGCAAATTAAAATGAAATATTTGTACATCAATAATAAAGCAATCGTTTTACCTGCTTGAATAAGTGGTTGCAAAAATTCTTGCAATCCAGCTGGAACTCCTCGAACAATATCACAAGAATAACCATCCTCAGGCAACAAGAAAGGCAATTGTAAATCAGAGTCCTCTTCAAGTTTAATATCTCTACCCTCACTTCTAGCTTGTTCATCAGCAGTATTTTCAGCAACCTAAAATAAAAAACTATTATCTAAAAAGCTCTCTAAATATAGCTGTAGACAGTGGTTTCCTTCTAATATTGTTGATTCCATCTATAAAAAAATTAAACTTGATATCTACCAAACTTTCTAATCAGATTTTGACAATTAGATTTTTTATCTTATTATCTGAAAATCAGTTTCTAAATTGCCGATTTAAAATAAATTTCAGTTTTAAAACAGTTTTTTCCCCAGTAAATAAATTAAATTTCACCAACCTTGAAGACCTTATAGCTGATATTAAAAGCTTGGGTATTTATAAAATTTTGTGTCACTATAGTCTTGCATATATTGGGTAAACTAAACATACCCTTAAACACTAACTAAAAAAAAGAAAGAAAAATGAAAGCTATGACCAAAGTCAGGACCTTAATTGATCTTTCATTGCTCTACATAGTTCTAATCACAGGTTTGAGTTTTCTTCTGCTAAAATCATTTAACACTCTTCATCTACTGAACTTAATTTTTGGGTGTCCTTCCATACTTTAAAAAATTCTAATAATTTAGTTAATGACCTTTCCAGCATCCCACTGTTTTTCAATATTTGGAAGTGTATTCTAATTTAATCTGTTGTCCCCTGGAGTTCTCGTCAGATCCCCTCACACCTTTTTTCATATCTTTTTTTATTATATTGTTCAAACTTGTTCCCCTGTTCCTATTGGTTAAACCACTTAGTATGTGTTTGTCTCTTGGCTTTTCTACCATCATTTTGCTATTCAGACACCCAGGAAGGTTCTTGAACTGAAACTATGTCCATTTCAGAACTTTCATTTGAGCATTATTCACCTTTTCTTCCCCTTCTTTTTTTTTTTTTTTTGATTTTTATTCTTTACATTATTCATAAGAAATTTTGAATAGTAAAAAGTAATTTACATTATAAAGTTAGTCATGGATCTAATAACAGTAAACTATTCAGTGAAAGAACTATGTCAGGATACTACAAATAAATAAGACATACCTTTACAACACTTTCAATAAATTCCTGAGGTATATGAGGTTCATCATCTGAAGGTAGATATCGTTCTAAGAGTGTTTGTAACTGCAGCGAGTTCAGTTTAAAGCAAAGAGAACTAATGGAAGCCAGGTCTTCAGAATTACTTTTTGGAGCTTGCAATAAATGAGCAGCCTGAAACACAATTAAATTTAAGCACTATTATAATCAATATAAAATATGCTGGGTACAAAAAAACAATTATCAGTTTATATATTCTAAATTTTTATCAAAAAATATCTCTGGACAAAAAAGTAATTTGCTCGAATTGCCAATTTACTCAACTATAAATTTGAGCTTTATTTTATTTTGAGCTATAAGTTTACACTTAAATTTTAAAAGTTTCAAGGTTTTAAATGCAAACCATACATTTTATAAGAAAATGTGAAGAAAAATTAAAATCTTACTTACATAATTCCCAGCATTATTAAGATTTTATTAATATAAAATGCATCTCAAAATATTTTTTACACCATAAAAGGAATATGTTATCTTCAACAAAAAATTCCAAAGAAGAAAATTTTAATGGAAGTGTTTGAATTTAATGGAAGTGATAAAAAATTAAAAATGTTCCATTGTTATTTCCAAAAAGATCCTACAAAAAATCTTTAAAAAAATTTCAAAAATTATTGCATGCAGTTAGTCCACAAGTCAGTAGTGGGAAAATGAAACAAGATAGAAATTCCTTCCATATAAATTAGTTTCAAATGTTTGAATACATAGAAATTTTTTTTTAAGATTTTTAAAATTTTAGTAAAACTTTTTAGATAAATTTTAGTTAACATATAGTAGAATCACCGCAGTACAAAAAATAGTACTATTTTTAAATATAAAAGTGTAACTACAAAAAATACAAAATTACCTGCACAATACGACTGAGATGACAATCAGCAGCTAATTCCAATCCTTGTTTCTCAGCCCATGCTTCCACACGTCCCAACCTTCTCTTTAGTCTTGCACCCCAAAGTCTCGTACAAAGGTTCATTCTGGTTTCACATACAACTTTATTGAACAGCCACATGTTGATGAAGTGAAAAAGTTGTGAAAACATCTGGATGGTGAGAGCTGCATTGACACGGCATCGCCTCAAAAGTGACATAGCAGATGCTAGCACAGCTAAAACATCAGCTGAAAACAGAAGATATAAAATTTAGCTATAAATGAAATTGCATTTCAATCAGATGATGTAGTACAATAATTATAACACACAAAGTTAGAAAAAAATTCAATAAGAGAGTTTAAACCAAATTCCATGTACTAATTTAGAAATTCAAACAAAGGCTGATTCCTAGGTAAAAAAAATTTCTTTATTTTATTTCATTACTGAAAAAGTGGTAGCAAAAATTAGTAATGAAATATACAGGAAGTCTAAGAAGTATAGAAACAGTGTAATAACTCTAGAAAAAGGTATCTGATCAAAAATTGGAAATCAAATTCGATCTCACTCAGTGGGGGGTAACCCAGCTTCAGAAAGTAGGGAGGGAACAGAATTTGGTATTAAAAAATACTAATATAATTTACACTAAAAAGGTCTATCTTTATTTGATTTGATATGTTTTTCTTAAAGTATGTCTTTAAATAATTTGCAACTCATTTTAATTTAAGATTACAATACCATCTATGAACCAAAATGAGAAAACCAGTAGGTGAAATTGTGGTATTTTTTCTGGTGAATCCAAATCTGCAATAAAAAAGGGGGATTTCTATTTAAGAATTAGATTCTTAGGCTTTACCACAAAATAGTATCCTTGAAAGCATTTTTGTTAAAATATTTTATACTTCTCACTTCTTTTTAGACTTATGATACGGCAAAAAATCTTGAGATATTTGATTGCTGTTATATTTTTTCGGACATTATATTTAATTTAATAAGATACGCACAAACAGAAAGTATAGTGTTTTAAATATCAAAAGAGAGCATACTTGTGCCCAACTCAAATTATTAGTTATTTAAGGTTTAAAAAAAAATTTTGTTATTAACTCTGTTAAAATACTATATCTAATGAAAAGAAGGACCATTTGAAAATTGTGAAGCCCATTAAGTCACGGGAAGAAGGTTACCACTCTGATCAGCATATAGATCTAAAGACACTAACTTTTGAGAAATTGGATGTTATTTAGAGGTTAAGTTGGTGTAAAATCATTCACTTCCTTATTCTGAAATGTTCACATAACATAGAAAAACAGTTGATCACACTAATAACAGAGTTTTGCTATGGTATGACTAATGGCCAAATGTCCAACAGTGTAAAAGAAAAAAGCTTACCAGTTGTACCTTCTTCTTCATTGACATCATCACGGTCTTCAAGGAAAGCTGGCATTGCATCTTGCAGTTCTACTTGTTGACACGTTACAAGACTTCGAAAAGCCAGCTGAACACTTTCTGCTAGTAAATCTTGGGCATCAAGAGTATATGCACTTAAATGGCGATCTTGTTTCAGAAAATGAAGCAATTCAGAAGTATTAGCAAGCCAAAAAGCCAGAGCAGTTGCATCTCGATATCGATCCTAATAAAAATAGATTAATGAAAACTAATTATCTTCAAAATAAAGATAGAAAAACATAATATAGTTCAAACCATATAAAAGCTGGTACAAATGTTAAGGTATATATTTTATACACCATTAATAAGAAAAATTATGAATTTATTCTAATAATAAAGGTAACACAGGAGTATAAAAATGATACATTATACAAAATGCTTAGTGATGATCCAAGGAAAACTAAATTTTAAGAATATGAGATATAAATTTTTCTAGAAAATTTTTAAACTATAGAAATTTATCTAATTACAAGAGCTGAATCCAGACACCAAACTTAAATAAAATGAAACACTTTCTGTAAACACAAAATCTCTTAATAAACTTTCTGCAAAGCAATCTATTGATTCTTGTAACTAGTTTCGACTCCTTCATCTCAACCTAATTCTGACAAAATTTGTTCAAAAATCACTGATTTTTTTATGTGTTTTAACTTTTAAAAAACTTTACATTGATTATTATATATACCAACACATCTTTCTTTAGCAGTTTTAAGTTATAAAACTAGTTACTGATTAATCAAACTTTTTGTCGTATCCCAGTTCTACAAAATTGCTTGCAGAATAGAATATGAGAATTTTAATTTTTTTTTTTTTTAAATAACAACGAGCTAAACTTTCCACAATAGTCTAATTTTTCATGAACAGGGTTTGCATGTTTTTGTATATTATGATGTCCACCAATTACTGATTTACAAACATTTGAGTTAGATACTCAAGAAACTAAAAAATCTATTACCTGTATAACTTGATGCATAACAGCTGCTACATTGTTCATTAAAGCTGTCAGCCTACGAGCACGATCATTCGGGGTAGTTTCGGGCCTGAAATGTGTTGAGGCACGATATCGAGCAGCCATATACAGAGCATATGTTGGTGACAGTTTAAATTGCACTTGACTAGGATCTAGCTGAGTAATTGATGCAGCTAGAAAAGCTTCTTCACCTAAAAATTTAAAAAGAAAATTTTAATTCAAAATATAAGTAGATTGAGTTACAATTTTCATTCAAAAAAACAATTTCCTTTTCAACGATTATGTATGTTGAACACTGAAAAATATGTCACAGGCTACATCCAATTTTGTTAACAGGTAACACAAGAATTACAGACATCCAAAAAATACTGCCAACTAATTTGTTTCAGTGACCCAAAATTAACGAGATCAGATAGCATAGTGAATCAAATATTTTACATGATGAATTGTATGAGTAACTTCGTTATTAAGAAATAAACATAATCTTACAGCTAAACTGCATATTAGCAGAGTTGGTATAACTTGAATTTTAAATATCAAAAAAATATAAAAATTATTTTTTTTCTTCTTTTTGCGCCAGTTGTCTAATTTTGGGTTAAGTGATTTAATTCAAGATTTAAAGAACCTTTTTATAGCAGTTAGGAACCATAGTTTTATGCTACCTAGAATTGTATTTAAAAATTGAGATCTTTTTTCAACAGACTACAAATAATTGAACAATGATAAAAACTTAATCAAAACTACTTATTATTCTCCTTGCTAACAGAAAACACAAACAACGCATGTTATGAAAAATTTAAGATTAGTAGCAAATATGACTAAATTTTATAAAACACATTTAATTTAGAGTATAGATATTGAGTTTTTGTGTATTAAATCCACTTTATGCAAAAATTTGTAACACATCAATGTTATTCAAATATTAACAGGGAGAACTCGCAAAAATACAAAACAAATTAACAAATATCATTTTACAATATGACAAAAACATAGCTTACATTAAAAATCTATGTCCAAATAATTTATTAATAAATTACTGCAACATATATAACTTCATATTTAGTTGCTTACACTTTAAGCAGCTTAACAATTTAATCAATTAAAACACAGATTTGAGCGTTTTTGAGAACTAGCAGCAGCACTCTTTCTAACATGTAACATAAATTATTAATTATTTATACAAAACACTAAATTAAATTTACTTTCCACATTCTTTGTTATTTAAAATTTAATTATAAACAATTAACATTTGACTAGTTTTCAAGTTACAGAATCAATAAATCAATATAAACAATCCAGTTTTCTTGGTTTATTTTAGCAAATTATCTTTATATGTAACACTACAGTTTCAACTAAAATACTTTCTCAATCAACAAAATTGAAACTTTAATTCCCCAGAAACAGGTTTCACCTTTACAAAGTTATTTAATTAACAAGTACTGGAGCTTTTGCTACACAGAGAAAGTATATGCAATTAACATTTAACTATGCATTAAAGTACTTTTAAAAATTTAAAAAGGTTAAACTTTTCTAAAATTTTTAGGAAAATAAAAAAAAGGAAATATTTTTTTATAAAACCATACCATCTTCCCAGAATTCTAAAACAGCTGGAAGAATAGGATCATTGCCCCTCTTCTGGTCATATCTCTCACTACTGCGTCCATGTGTACTTTCACGACCTAATGACCTATGAGAAAGAGCATCGTCAGACTTTTTGGAAAGACGCTCTTCTCTGGAATGTGTGGATACTGTTTCGACATTGCCATCCGCATCAAATGTAGTTTCATAGCTACCATGATGATGTAGAGACACCTGGTCCTCCCTTCGACTTCTGTGAAAAATAAAAATTATTCATTAAGGGAATTACTTGGGTTTTAAAATTTCAACAAATTCATTGCTTCTGGATTTTAAAATTTAAAGGCTATTCTTCCTTACCAATAGAAAACTAATAAAATATAGATTTATGCATGAGCACAAGATGTTATTTCACTGACTCTGAAGAACAGGGAGAAGAAAAATAAAATTTTTAAAATCTTTAGAAATACTTATCTAGTACAGTTATTTTTCAAAATTTCCTTTGAAACAAAATTACTTGATTTATTTGTCTTTTCTTTTTTGGCACAAGAGTCTACTTTATTTATGTATTTATTATAATTAAATTGATAAACTTAACTAATAGAAGCCGATTTTTATTTAATTGATCTTATCCCTAAATTCTTATTCTCCCTGTATTTGAATTAAGCTACAACATTAAATAATGTTCAATTCCTAAACTATGATACTAATTGGTGAAAATTGTTACAGCTATAGTGGTATTTAAAATTTACGTAAAATTAATAATTTGAATTATTTCAAATGGAATGATATATCATCAATAAAAAAAAATACAATATGAATGAACAACAAATGTAATAACAATAAGGTGCAAATAATCATAAGGTTAAGGATAAATTATAGAGATATATCTCAAAATAATAAATACAATATATTATAAAAGGTCCGCAACTACACCTAAGTTTCCTAGTCACAGTGAAATGCTAACATTAGCAATTCAAAAATTGTAAGTTTATAACAATCTGAAAACGACTTGCAATATTGCAAAAACTCTCAATCCAGTCTGTTATCGGTAGACAAAAGCAGTCTATTTATATATTTTAAATCAAAACATGTGGTGGTTTGAAATAAAAGAGAGGTGAATAGGTTTATTTCATTTTTTTAAGCTTCTTTATCACTGTATTAACATTAAATATGTGTATTTATTTATAACTACAAGCTTACTATAACGATAATAACACTTGCATTTTAAATCATAGTTATAATGGAATTTCACTGTATTATTACTACACAAAAAAAAGAATTTTAAATTAAGATGAAAAATATTTTCTTAAATGAGTAATGTAAAATTTATATTGCATAAATTGAAATGAATAATAAAATTGTAATTGTATACATTGAAATGAATACTAAAATTGTAATTGTATAAACTGAAATGAATAATAAAATTGTAATTGTCCCTCTAGGCCTCACTCCTTACTTTAAGCTAAAGGCTCTCCAGCAACAACAACAAAAAATGATTTTCAGCAAGTAAGAGTGTATAGTGGAGAAATTTCAGTGAAACACTTCAACAACACTTGGAAGGTTAAATATACATACAATTATTAATATACATATTTTTTTTAATATCAAAAAAACTAACAAAAATATCTTACTAATTATGTAACTAAAGTTATTATACATTTAAGGATAACATACGAATATTACCTTTCTATAAATTCAGGATGCTGTCGAGGGTCAGGTAACATGCCATGTTTCTAGAAAAGAGAAATAAATATGTTACAACCAAACATACATAACTGAATGTAGTGAAGATAAATGATCTTCGAGTATTTTGATCGAAACTTTGTTGAAAATATCCTTAATTACCTGGTCATGAAGTGGGTCTACAAATCTAAAAGTATGTAGTTTTCCAAACCGCACAACCATTCCATTCTGTAAGATAGTTGTTTCATATATTCTCATACCATTCACATAAGTTTCTGCATCTCTACTGCTAGGAGTGACAGTAACTATTCCCTGCGTATGAGCAATGACACAGTGGCGGGGTTGGACATTTGGACCAAAGAGCTGCAATTTTAATAACCGAAGATGTAAGTAAATAAATAGGAAATCATAGATCAAAATAAACACAATTCAATAAAAAAGACGGTTAAATGTTTAGAAAATGTAATGTGTTTATAAAAGTGATATCAGCATGATATCACAAAATCAACATATTTCAAAATATAAGGATTAAAATACTAGAATAATAAATAGAAGAATTTGATCATGAAAAATTTCAAATATAAATAGAAAATATAGATAAATAATATATGAGCAATAACACTGAATTCATCACCATAAAAATTTGATAATATAGAATAGTTATTAAGTTTTCTTAAATATGAAGCTTAAAAAGCAATGAATCTTGTGTTGAAAGCAATTTGTCTAAGGCATGAAACAATTAGTAGACAATTCCTTAACTTGAATAAAACAATGTTGGATCAAAATCTGATTCTTTAAATCTGATTTTATTGTAAAATCCACATTAGTATTTGATGAAAATAACATTCTTTAGACACCTAAAAATTAGGAAAATCATGACAAATAGCTAAAAATTCGAATAAATATTTTGCATCCAGAAAATCTGGACAACTACTGACTTTGGGAAACTTGAATAAGCATTAATCTAAACATTTTATAAGACTAACTTCAACTATAAATTCAAATGTCAACAACAACAGAATAAGAACTCATGTTCTGGAAAAGGACTTCAATAATTATAAATGTTCTATGGGTATCTTCATTAATAATCATCTCTCCCTATTCACCTTATTATGGATGTTGTTTCTATTATAGAAGATGGTAGCACAATAAGAGGCATTTATGACTCCTGGATGATAGAAATTCATTGATTTTTACCAGTTTGAATTAAACAAGTTTTTTTATGAACACATATTTTTTTATACATTTTTATTTAAACGCTTCAACAAAAAAAAGTTCTTAAAAACAGTTAAGAGTTATGAATAATATATTATGAAGAATAAAAATTATTAAATAATGTGCATAAAATAGTGATGTCCACTATGTAATATATGAATATTTCATACATTAAATACATACAAATTATCTTCAGTATAAATCAATAAATTATAAAATTAAATGAAAATATAATACATTTCCAATCAACTTCGTCCATTCTTGAATAAAATTTAATTTGCACTTAAAAATGCACAAATTCACTGCAAAAAAATTTTTACCTGCAAATATTGTCCCCCGATAGAGCTACTTCTTTCACTACCAACTTCAGTAACATTAAGATAAAGTCTATGTTTCTTGGGAGGCCCATGTCCATCACTGCCATCTGTAGACATGTCAACAAATAAATTTTTTAAAAAAACTTAGATTTTAACAAAAAAGGAAAAATTTTAATTTCGTGTACTAGTTAATATTTCCACAAATAACAATTGTAATATTGAGGTATAAGGATCTAGATCAATTTCTTCCATTCGGAAGGAAAACAAAGCCTTAAATTAGGATATAATTTCTTAATATAAATACCTGAATTTAATTCGAGGAGATAGGGTAGTTTTTCAATTGTGTCATCCTGCCTGTAACTCATATCATCATTTTTAGTTGGCTTAGGCTTTTTTTTCCTCTTTCTGGGCTGGTAATCAGCAGGTCGTCTTCGAACATGAAATGATAAGGCACCTATAAAGATAAAATAAAAGCATTTAATGATTGAGCTAACAACAGAACGTAAAGTTTCCTTTTCTCATAAGGTTAACAATTTTCTACAAGCTTCAAAAATTTTTTAATTAAAATAAAATATGAATAAAGTATATTGTTCATTATGTTTGTTAAAAATAAAAATTTTAAAACAAAAACAATACTTAATAGTTAGAAAAGCAAATAAAAATGTTTTCTTTGTCAAATGAAATTATGCCAAGATAATTATTCATGAAGTATACCATACTTTAAAAAACTGCAAAAATTTTGTAACTTAAAATATTTTAAGCAAATTTTTCACAGCTATTTTCAGGGGGAGGAAACAGATAATACAAAAAGTTTGTAATTAGTTATGTTTTCAACCTTTCAGGTAGAAAAGAATATAACAGTTAGAAAACAGAATAAATCAATTTACGAACTATCATTTCCATAAAATCTTCATTCTTATATGAACCACAAAAATTTTTCATAACTCAATACTAGTTTTAAAAACATTATTTATAAATATTTTTGTAAAGAATAAAAACGAAAAGATTATTCAAATTTATATTACTTATCTGTTATGTTTAAACCTGCCACTCATAAATAATTTGAAATAAAAGTTATACTATTGATTCTTACAAAAAAAAATCAATAAATGAGAACAAAAATAATAATAAAAACACAACTAAGAATTAATATTTTCATAACTAAATCATGCCAAGACCCATGATTGTAAAAAAACAATAATTGCCTAGTCTTACTATTGATTACATTAGGCTTTACTTTCTACCAATTACAGCAAACTTTACTCTTGATTAATTACAGCAAACTTTACTCTCGATTAATTACAACAAGCTTTAAGCAAGTGATTTATAATAACATTTGTGGCAGATTTGAATCAATACTATACATGCAACAAAAAAGTCTTCCTACAAAAAAAATTAATCATACCAATATACTTTTTTTAAAGTAAAACAATGCAAAAGAAAGTAAACAAAAGATCAAATAACTATGAAAAATGATCTTTTCAGTATTTCAACCAACACCATTATCAATGCAGAAATAACTATCAATATTTTAAGTTTGATCATGGTACTTGTTACAGAACTCAAATGATTGTCAGTCTCAATTAACTGCATTATTTGAACTCTTTACATTTGTTGTTCTATTTTATATAATTTATAACAATGTCTGTAACAGAAGGATATCAAATTTTCTTAGAATATCAATACGCTTTATTTATTTTTATTTTTTTAATTTTTTGGTCATAATGTAAGTATCAAATCAGAATTTTGAATCAACCAGAATTCATTAACAGTTTGTTTTTACCTTTGTTCCGATTATGCTGCTGTTGAATCATCAGAGGACAATCATCATCATCTAATATATATTCTCTGATACCGCCATTTTGAAGATCGGGACCATCATTTGTATGATGTGATACTATAGTTTGTACAAGACAATACATAAAAGGATCTTCTTTATCGTACCCATATTTATTCAATATCTCTTTTACCACATAGGATGCAGTATCTTTTGTAGAAAGTAAAAGTGTTTTGTAAGGCACATCTTTATTTAAAGCTTCTCCAAATATTCTCAAGGTACCACCTAAAAATACCATATAAAATGCATTAAAAAATTTATAATACATGTTTTTGTAATGTATTAATATTGGAATAAACATGGTTAAACCTCACTATCACAAACTCAATGTAAGATACTAAAATCTTTTAACATTAAAAATTTCAGATACGGAAAAATGTAAGAGTTTTAAAATTTAAATTAAAATATTTGTTAGCATCTTAAAAACTATTATAGCATACTTAATTCAAAAATAAAAAACATAAAACTATTTAATAGTTACATGCATTTATACAAGTATTTTATAATAACATTTAAAAAGTGTACAAAATTTAAATTTTTCGCTAGAGTAAAAAATTACCATAATCAGCACAGTAGTTATTTTTACGTAAATATTTCCAATAACCCCCAAAGCTTCTTTCTTCCGAAGAAAAATATTTGGTGAAAGCAGTTGATAAATTTACTTGATTAGAGTAAAAGATTATCAATCAGAACAGATCTTATATCTATATAAATATTTCCAATAACCCCCAAAACTTCTTTCTTCCAAAGAAAAATATTTGGTGAAAGCAGTTAATGATAAATGAACTTGATTAATTGACATTTTTATCTATTATAAAAAAAGTGTATCTATAAAAATACAGATTAAAATTGAGCACATAAAATGAGCTAATTAAATATCATTTTTTTTTTAAATTTTTTAATTACCTGCATCAGTGCCACCCTCTTGACAAAACTGTTGAAGTTTTTTCTCTAATATTTGCTGCCTCCTTCTTCGCATAACTGCTTCTGGATTGGAAATTGATCGAGTAAAGCTTGTTTCAGGAAGCTCAGAGTATAGTCGCTCAGCTATACCATCTTTCTTACTTTCTTCAGCAGCCTGCAATTGCAATATAAAAATTTATAAGATAGCACTTTTGGAGTAAACATACAAAGGATACTTTCATTCACATAATATAGTTAATCATCTGAGTATAGACTACTTAATAATATTAAAACTGCCAACATTTCAAAACGCACACAATAAAGTTTTTTTTCAATAGATAAATATCAACTTATACTGAAGATCAAGACATGTTTACTTGTAAGCTGTTATTCTTTTATAGAGGGTTAAAATATAAAACAAAAATTGTCTAAAATATAATATACACGAACATGTGATCACAGATGTAATTTGTCAACATCACAGAAAACGTTTTCGTATCACTCATTATAAACAAAAAATGGTCAAAAATTCCTTAATTTACCATGTAGTCAATATTTTTTAATTTACAAACATAGCAGAAAGTTTTTTAGTAATATTCATTTAAAAAGATAAATAGTTAAAATTTCCTAATCTTAACCCACATAAAGTGATTATCACTCTAATAATAATAATCACACTAATAATAAATTTGAGAACAACCAACAAATCCATTCAAAAAATGACGTTATGTAAAACTTTGAATAATTCTTGCTTAAGGATTACAAATCAACTTATTTCTTGACGAATTTTGAAGAAGTCATTGATAAATAAACACTAATTGCGCTGAACAAAACTCTTAGTAGAATCAAGGTGGTCACAGTGCAGTTTAAAAATAAAATTTTTAAAAAAAAAAGAAAGATAAAAAGCAAATAACAACTCAGGATCAGCAAAGAGGGAAGGGATTATTTAGATTATATTAGACGTTATTTTATTTAACAGAATTATAAATTATATTTAGTTGTGCACTAACTCTTAATATAAAACCTTATTCTTTTTTATGCAAACAATTTGATCTAATTTGAGTTAATAAAAGGTGGAACAAAGTAATAGATAAAATAACTACTGCAATATAAAAAGTTACAAAATATGAGAAAAGTTATATACTAACAAATATGAAAATAAATATAAAAGAGCAAAATAAAAACCTTCAGTCTCTCTCGTTTTTCTTTCTTCTTCTTCTCTTTCTTTTCACGTTTAGATAATTTTCTTTTGAAATTTTCATTATCACAAGCATCCATACTAGAGATCTGAAATATAAATATGAAATTAAAACTAGGATATTTTGAAGGAGGAAAATCTGCCTGCTGTAGAAATTTATTTTGCATAAAATTATCAAAGTTTAAAAAAAAAAATTTTTAATCAGTAACAGTTTATCAAAAACAAGTTAATTTTTTTAAAAATGAATTATACTTCTTGAATTAAAAATAAGGTTCACATAAATAATAAAATGAATTGTGAAATTTATATGAGAAACTCATTGTTAGAGAAACATTGAAAGTAAGAAATATAAATATTTAGTGTTCCTCTGACAGAATTTTTTTGTTTTTTTAAACTTTCTACAGAAAAATGTGGAAGATAATTAAAATTATTCACATTATTTAGAGATACTTAATCAGTAAAATATATGAAGTGCATAGATTTAGTGATGATTTGATAATTTTTATTTTAGTGATAATTTTTATTTTAGTAATAATTATATAGATTTAGTGATGATTTGATGATTTGATAATTAATCCTAATTTCAAAATTAAAAATTTAAAACAAAAATAAAGGTTATAAATTAATTTATTAACAAATAATTGTTTCATTTGTTTGTCAGTTTTGTATTTATATAAATTTAATAATATTTAATTAGTTAATAAAACCAAAGCATTGTTAAATTTGATTTATTTGTATATTGACACACTAGATGTGAGAAGAGCCCTGGTTGGAAGACATCAGTTTGCAAGCTGTAAGTAGTTTTCCTGCTTAAAATAAAATTTAAAAATATTTCACCTTCCTTCAAACTAAACAGATACATAAATCTCTGTTTGGTTCAGTTAAAAAGCATAAAAAAAATTATTGATAAACAATTTAAAGGTATGTCTTAAATATTATGGGTCTAAAAATAGAGAGTCTCAAATTTTGGCCTTATGTATTTTTAAAAAAATGCCTTTATTATTAAATCTCAGGTGAGAATGAATTGAAATTCTATCAATCTTGAGCTCAGAACTCCAGAAGTTCATCTAGTAAACAGGTAAATCAGGCTTAAATTAACTCTGCAAACAATTAAAAAAAAAAAAAATACTGTTTCAAGCAGTTAAATTAAATCCTCAATTTCTATAATTCTTCTATTTCTAATATTGCAAGTAACACTGATTCAAAACTAAATATTTTAATAATAGTAAGATGAAGGCACAAAATAGACACCTTTCATTTTTAATATTCATAAAATCCTTAAAGATTTGTACTTTTCACAAAAGTTTTAAAATTCTTAATTAAATCCAGTTAAATAGGATCTATAATAACATTTGAAAAATGAGGAATCAATAATTATTTGAAAACACATATAAATGTATTTTCTTATTTATAGGTATATATTTTAGTTAAGTAGAACATACATAGGACTTTTCATCCATGCGTCGAAGAAGAAATCTCCCTTCTCGGTCATCTCTATGCCAGTCTAGCTGCACAAGAAGGACCCTCTCATCTCCTTTTAACTTCCTCTCCTCTGCAAACACAATGAAAAAAACATTGAAAATAACAATTAAAAAAACATTATTCTTTTTTATTAATAAAAGAATTATGTTTCCACTATTTCCATACCTCCATTTTCATGAATTTCATAAAGGGCATATTCAGGAATAGAAAGCATTCGAATATCTGGACGGAATTTTTCTATTAATGTTTCTATTACATCTGATGTAGTTGCTGTGCTGGCAACCCTTATGCATTTGGTAGCTACCTTTTGACCAGCATCTTGGAAATAAAACCTCATAGCCCCATGGAACTCTAATTCCTAAAAAAAAAATTTTAAATTTAAATTCATTTATTGATTAGAATTTCTTAGAATTCTAAAAATTATTAAATCAAAATAAAATTTAGTGCTTAATTTAATTTTTTTGGTATTTTTATGACAATTTAGCAAAGCTTGCCATATTTACAGAAATACTTTTTTTTCAAAAAATAAAAAATTAAAAAAAAGACAACAGAATTTTTTTTTATTTCTATAGGTAGTTATTGTGGTTATAACACACTCAATTAAATAAAAAAATTAAATAAATTGTTAAAGTAAAATGCAAAAGTTCGAAAATTATCTTCCTAATTTTTAAATTAACCATTTTTTTTTTAATCCTTTAAAAGTAAATAAGTTATAGCATATTTGTTTGCACTTGCAAAATAGATTATGAATCAATCTATCTCTTGTTTATTTATTTATTTATTTTTTAATGACAAAGCAATTGATTGGTTCACAACTATATACATTCAAAACTTTAATAATAATTCAGATTGGAAATTGAGGCATTCATTTATTGATTTTAAACATATAGTAAAAAATGCAGTTTTTTAGTTAAATTAACGCTAGGGATACATTGATGCATAAGGCCTTGGACAGATCTATTCATTCATAAGTAAAAAAATTCACATCAAAATCTGAACAAAATTTTTTTTTTCATTAAATGTAATTGGTAGTTTAATAGCAAGACAATAAACAATATAAAAATGCCAATTGACCCAATTGTCACTTTTTACCATCCTAATAACGATTTTCCAAATTTAAAAAAAAAATCTCATTGAAAATTTGTCTCTGTCTTGTTAAAAAATTTAAAGCCCTTGTGTTAGGGGAATTTTTTACAAATTAGTATCGAAATAATAAAATTACTAAATAAAGCATTTTAAACTTTTAATTTGCTGATTAAGTTCAAAGCATCTAATAATCATTCCAGAATAAAAACTATAAATAACGCATATACTACTTGATCAACTATACAATCTCAAAACAATAAACATCGCCATTAGCATCGATTGTTAAATTATTTAAATTCTTTTAAAATTATGTTTTAAGACATTTCATAAGGAAAAAAAACTATTTTGTAGTTATAATTCAAAAATTAAATCAAAAGATGGCAGTGACTTTTAATTAAACATTACAACTTCATGCGTCATTAGTGTTGTAGGGAATTCCGCCGATTCCAGGCATGAAAATTTTGCCCAAAAGTTTTAAATTAAGTATATAAGACTACATTTTAAACCAATAATTCGTAAAATGTTCGAACTCAAAAAAGTTAACTTCACTTTTAGATAAAAGTCACGTTTTTCTATATTCTCAAAATTAGAGAAAGACATTAATAAAATCAAATATGTTCAAAAAACTCAAAAAATAATTAACAAAAAACTCAAAAAATAATTAACAAAAAATAATTATAATTAATAAGAAATAATTATAATTAATAAGAATAAATAAAAAATTATAATTAATAAAACACAAAGCGCAGAATATTTTTGAATTTTAAAAAAAATTTCCAAAACAAAACAAATCTACAATTTAAAAATAAAAAAAAAGCTAAACGTTTTAGTGTGTATAATGATTAATCAGTACATTACATTTGAGCTATTAGGACGTAACATTTGTGAAAACGTAAAATTTTATTTCGCCATTCAGGTTAAGATTCGGCATTCACTCAAACCCTTTTGATATCCCATCAGCAGTTAATTAACGTGTCACGAATTCCCGACTACAAATGGATGTAGTTTCCTCATCTACGAAGAAACTATGCAAGTTTTACAACTGCGTGCTAAATTCTTGTTAAGCTACATGACACAAAAAATAAACACTCCCATTGAACATTAATATCTTAATGACAGGTTTTATACTGGCAACCAAATTATTTTGTCAACTGCGATTTTGTTGACAATAGTAAACAAAATAATGACACTATTTTATTCTGGTTAATCGTGTTTCAAAAAAAAAGATATACAATAATTGGTATTTTTATTAAATTACTAAGTTTTGAAAAACAAATTCATTTTTAAAGCATCAATTTTACATCCAAGAAAGTTGATTCTAAGAAAAACGAATTATAAAGTTTTAGAATTTTCAGGAGCAAGCATCCGATTGAAATTGTAAAAATAAATATATCTATCTACGAATGTTACTTTAAAAAATTAAAAAACAAAATTTGAAGTTTTTGATGATGAAAAAAAAAATTGAAAATGGGGTGGACAAGACGGTGTTTTCCTTAAAACTCCCGAACCAATACTTCCTCGTGTTTCAATTGTCTTCTTCACTAAACGTTTCGTTGTTCTTTTCTACGCTAGGATAGGAACCGCTTTTTGCCAGTCTTCACCCTGTAATAACTCTCGGGAAGAACCGATTTCCTACGTTATAGATTTGTCAAAACCTCAAAATGCAACAGTTGGCGATCGTCTCTTTTGTGAAAATTGGACATAAACCGTTCTTCCCCCTTGGTCTTCATTTATCAAATACGAAAAGCAATAAATAGTAATCAAGTTGCATGGTTTTAATTTTCAACACTGTTGAACAGTATGAAAGTAACATAAAACTAAATTTCTGCAATCAAAAAAAATGTTCTTATGTTTGATAGAAAATCAGCTTCATCTAGGCAGCGATAGTAATTGTAGAAGCGGGGGAATATAATTGAAGAATAAGAAGTACCATTACTTTTTCCCCCTAGAACAAATCAGTTTTTTTCTGTTACAAACAAATTGCAAGAAATCGTCATCTTTAATTGTTAATTCTACCATGCAACATGAAATTATAGTATCACTAGAAAACTTTAATAAGCATAAATTAGTAGTTTCCTGCAATGCAAAATATTTATTTTTAGTTGTGGTAAATTATAATTAATTAAACTAACACAATCAACTGCAATGATTAGCATATAGCTTTCTAGAAATTGTCTGGGCTTAACTCTAACTCTTCGTTCTATAAAGTATTGCATTCTTTAACACCTTATTTGTACGTTTATATATTTATCACTGCTATTTATATTTTTTTAAAAATTAACTAAATTTAATTTGAAAAAACAGTTCTAAAGCTATAAGATTAGTTAAAACTTTTTATTAATTTAAATCAACTAAAGAGGAATTTCGTTGATTTAGAGAAAAGGGATTTACTGCTTCCACGTTAACTTATGAAAATTATTTCCTCATTTATATAATATATAATTAATATTTGTTTCACTTTATTCTTGAAAAGTAAAATAGTTATTAAAGAACAAATTATAGTTATCTTTGAGTTTTTTTAATTTTTTTTCTTATTTTTTAAGGTCTGAAAAAAGAGAAAAGTGATACATCGTCCCTGCAAACTTATAGGAACTAATTTTAAAATAACTAATTAATATTTAGAAATATTTGTGTTTCCTTTTATTCATTGAAACTAGCTCTAATATACCAAGATACAGAATTTTAAGATTGCAAGTATTTTTATAACCATTTCAAAACTGTTAAAGCTTTTTTCTGTCAGAAAAGAACCCTTAATAAATTATCCATTATTTACAACAACTCAGAGATGCCAACTTACTCCGGACAGCAAATATATATTTTAAAGTGGTAGTTTATTAATTGTGATTCATGGTTTAATAAATTCAATTTAGTTGATTTTTATTCACCACTTTTTCTAAATAATTCGTAGACTTATATAATTCACTACTTTCTAGTTCTAAGGTCATACTATACCTTTCGAAAAGCAAGCAAAAATAGTTAAATATTTGCAAAATTTACTTTGTAGTTATTTACCGTTTTTTTTAATTATTTTAGAGTGTCCGGAGCAGTTGGCATCTCTGACAACTAATAACTAAATATTATTCACCAATCTAGACAAAACAATAACAATCCACGNTAAGAGTTTCATATTATCATGGGTCTGTCCAGACATTTTGTGAAAGGTCCGTTTTTGTAAAATTGTGAAAAAATGACTCGTAATTTGTGAATGTAAAATAAACGTTAAGTGACATTCTTTTAACCAGGGTCCGCTTTTGTGAATTTGTGCAAATAGGGTCCGTTATTGTAAAAAAACTTTTTCAAGGAGTTTTTAAATTGTAAAGACATACAAGATAATGCTCAACACTGTAAAATTTTAATTAAAAGAATTAATTTTAAAAAATAAACAGCATTTGCAGCTACTAAATTAGCGATGCAACATACAAATATTTGGTATTTACAAATATTTGGTATACTGCTGAACGCAGAATATTCATTTCGGGCGAATAAAGGAAGAAGCGTCTGCCGAAGACAAAATTTAGTTCGTTTACATTAGTCTTTCAAGTACATAAGCATATTTTGGGAAGGGTTTATTCGATTAACAAAACAATAATGAGGATAAACAAATTTGTGAAGGGTCCGATTAAAAGATAAAAACGGAGCCTTCACAAAATAATTTAAGTTAAAATATTTTGTGAAGGGTCTGTTTTTAGGAAAAGATATTTCGGATCCAAATTTCTTCTAAACAGACCCGTGACTATTAAAGCTTTTTTCTGTCAGAAAAGAACCCTTAATAAATTATCCATTATTTACAACAACCAATAACTAAATATTATTCACCAATCTAGACAAAACAATAACAATCCACGTGACTTAAAAAAAAAATTCTAACATAGAAAACTCCTAAAAGCTTTTCAAATTTCAGCAATCCAAAACTAAGAATAGCTTCCGACGAAATTAAAACGTAGCTGTCAAATATTAAATATTTTTAAGAAGTTAATTGGACCTGTTAAGAAAGAAAAAGGTGTACTTCTTCCTCCTTAACTTACGAGAAATTACATGAAAGCATATTCCTTAATTAAGTAATTAATGACAAATGGCTCTGTTAAACCTAATTACCGAATTTGAAAGTTGTAAGCATTTTTTAAACTATTTCAAACCTTTAATAATAACAACTTTTTTTTAGTCATAATAAATTATCTATTACAGACAACTTTAACATAATCCTTTAAAATATTATTTGTATCCGTTACACCACGCCTTAAATATTCACCAAAATAGACAAAGCAATAACGG